ACATTAAAAATTTATAATTCATTAGAAAATATTTTTTATGTTAATTAAAATGATAAATATTTTTCTAATTTTATTTATTATTAATATTAAGTAAAATAATAAATTTCATCTTTAGTACATTTATTTGCAAAAAACAAAAGACAATATAAAATAATTTTTAATGCTAAATATATTATAAAGAACAATATAATATTATTTTAATATCTTTTGCATTAGCTAAATTGTAGTTTTGGTTTCTCAAATTTGAGAAGCCAAAGTTACAATTTAGCCAATTTGTTAATTATGCATTTTACTCTTGGAGCTCACTATTTTGATCTTTGTTGTTCATATTGTGTATAATATAGGTTTACATTACACTCTTGGAGATGCTCTAAGGTCTGAAGAAATAGATCATTATGCAGTTCCAAAGGGAATGTTGAGCAACAAATGCTTAAATTTTTTGGGGTAGTTGACTTTTCAAGGTGCTCGAGGAGGTCCTGGATCACATAGTGAATATGATCGACTCTTGGATGTAACACAAGATCTACTTGGGTTCTAATTAAGATTCAGATAATGTTTCCAGGTGTCAATCTCAAAGAGGCCAATACCTACGTTATACATCAATAATTGTGTATCAAGTGCCTTGGCTACTATCAGCAGTCATAATTACGGATCAACTATATTCTCTAGTGTCGTGGACGTTACATAATAACGAAAAACTGTCAGTAATCAATAACCGAGCATAGTTATGCTAGAGAATTAGCAACATGACATCTCTTATAGAGGATCATATCAACTATCGAGACCATATGTGTGTGTGTGTCTTAAAGTTGGTCAGTATATCCAAGGCTGCTAATTAAAATCCTGATATAATATAGTCATTTACTTACATCCAAGAAATTCAAATAAAACATTCAATACCATTCTACCATCATAGCCTTTGATTTACACCTTCCCACTTTAGTACCAAATAAAGTAGACGAAAACCGTAGCGCAAGGGTGAACTCAAGCCCACCCTCAATTGATAATATCTCCCCTAAATTATACTTATATATCTATTTAGCCCACCCATATTTTATTAATTAGCCCACCCAAAATCCAAATTAATGCAAAAAAAGCTCTAATTTATTTCCTATTCCTATTTTCTGATTTTGTCACAAAAAAGTCCTCAAAAAAATTTCGAGGGCGCTACCCCTGAACCCCCGAAAATTTAAGGCCACCCTGTAACAAATTCCTGGACTTGGCCGCCGAATTTACAAAGGCCTCAAGTAGTATGATCACTCGCTAATATGGAACAATATGGGTATCGAATTCTCAATTATGTTGCTCAAATTATTATAAAATGCACAAATGAAAATATTGATATTTATCATGTTTCCCATACCTTCCTTGCATCAAATGATTTTCGAACCACCCTGAAAGCCTCTGGTGGCAACATTGAAGGAACCTTCAAAATAAAAATAGGGCAACAAATTATCAATCGGAAAATGTCATGCAGAAAACCAAGCCACTAAATAAGCATAGTAGTCTAATTATGCAATAAACATGAATAATCAAACACCATTTCTCGATTCAATCGAATATAAGAAACAAAATTCCAGAAAAATGCAGTATCTTCACCGGAAATTCAATAATTTTGGCAATCTCCTTGAGCAGAGCGGCAGAAACACCGAGAAAGTCTTTTCCGGGGTCGTCATTGACCGGAACTCCGACGCCGGAAAGCCTCCAAATACCTTCAATTGGATTTGCGCCGCCGGTTTGGGACTTTTTCTGGTGCTTTAACTTCTTTTTCTCCGATGGATATCTCAATTTTCCGGTCCTTTTGGCCTTCTGAGCACAATTAACAGTGAGAATTTTGGGGAATTTGTGGAATTGGTTGGAATTAGGAAACGGAAATCTGGAATTGGAATTGGAGAAAGAAAATTTGTTGAAGGAAAAAGTGAGGTGGTGGGAGATAATTGGCATTGTTTCGAATTTTGCAAAAAATGGAGGAGTTTCTGATAAGGTGCAACAACTCGGTTTTAAGGATGGGGTTTTACACCTTTATTTTTTCATTTTTCTGTTAATTTCTTTTGGGTTTTAAAAGATTTTGACTTTTTTTTTAGTATATAAATAATTAAATAAATAATCAAACAATAAAAATTTAGATTTATTTCGTTGTATAAAGTTGGCAATTAACTTCACATTTGAGGATTTCATAACAACCGAGTAATTAACAGGTCCCGGTTAATTGGTGCGGAGGTGATAAGTTGGTGCAAGGTCCTAGGATCGAATCATAGCAGCCGCAGTGTGGGAATTTGAACTCCAATGAGGGTTGGTTCCTTGTGGGCACCAGTTCCGAGTCCGCTATGCAAAATGTATGTTACTTGTCGTCATTTTTTTAATAAAACTTGAATTAGTGTGATTTGGAGTTTGAATGCAAAAGTTATAAGTCTAGTAAAAATATGTTTTCTTGTTGTATGTTAAATAGTAAGATAATCGACCGTAAAATTAAAACTATATAAGAAAATGACATTATTATTATTAAGAAGTATTTGAAAAACAAATATAAAAAAGAAAATGACCGAACAACGCAATCAACAATCGATCAACTGCCAGCAGACGAAATTGGGTGTAAAATTATGGTTTCGAATCTTTCAGTTGCATATGTTAAAATTGTGAAGGATAATTAAAAAAAATACTTCAAATTTAATAGATTAATCTACTAATGGACTTTGAGAAAAAACAAAATATTTGATTAGGGCTTTAAGAATTTTCATCTCATTTAAGGGTTTTTGTCTAATTTTCCAATTTAAAAAAAGGGGAGGTTGTTTAGAAGACCTCATTCAGCGGTATACACGAGATCATAGTAAATTCACTTATCGGAAATTAACTCGGGATTTCAGTCATCCATCGCCGAATGCCCTTCATGCAGTCGGCAACTCAAGCCCATACCACTAGTAGAAACTGAGTAACGAATTTAGCTCGAAAATTAGCTTAGAGATCAAGAAAAACACAAGTCAAATTGAATCCAAAACGAGTAACAAAAACTAGGGGAAAATGTCCGAGTAACGATTTCAGAATATATATGTTTTTACATATTCAATTTTCAGATGTTATAACTTATAGGTCGAATTCGAAATTTGGCTACATTTGGCGGGTCAAGAAATTTGAAAAGAAAAAAAATATATGATGAAATAATAAAGATATCTTTAAAGGTTTGATATCGAAAATCCTTGGATATTTCACCATTTATGATTTAACCTCCAAAAATATATTGTACGAAATTTTAATTTTCAAAAATTTAGAAAATGACCGCTTAATAGGCAATAGCTATGGTCATTTGACTAAATATTGCTCGATTACATGCGAAAATAGTCAATATTCTACCGATATAGAGAAAGCTGCCAAAATGCATGCGAAAAAACATTCAACATCGTGCAAATATGCTAACTTCGATTAATAAATTGCTTTAATTCGTGATTAATTATAAGTTTTCTCATACGCATTTGAAATTAAAGCCGCATAATTTTATAATCTAACAAAAGAAAAATGGTTCGAAAAAATTAGATTTATGGAAATAGTTTTGGAGAGTTGACCGTAATGTTGCTATAATTTTGGTATTATTTGCTTTCAAAAAAAAATTGGTAGTATTTCTTATTTTAGTCAAATAAAGATTTATCCGAAGTCCTATCGTTATTCAAATTGCATTAGAAAACTAATAAATTTAAAAAAATCTAAAAAAAAAGAAAAATCACATTTTGTAATTTTTTTAAAGGATTCGAATTATAACATGGCTAGTTTTGGACAATTTATAAAATTCTTAAATCACAACCTATTTATTTTCTTGATAGTATTTGCTATTTTAATCATTAAACTTCGATTCTATTAGTTGAAGTTGCAATTGAATAAAACAAATAGAGATATATAGACTTAATTTTTGCTTCCCAGCAAAAATAATGAAGACGAAAATACTTTCTACCCCAAAACGAAGACCCACTCCAGACGACATCATAAATCTCGATGTTGGTAAGAGCTTTAGTTTACGAAATCAATTGGGACATTATTCGAGTACGTGCAACTGGAATCAAAACACTTTTTTTTTTTTTTTCTTTTTTTATTCTTAAGTGATATTTTCCAGACTTGACTGCTTGAGTGTTTTTTGTTTCCAATTTTCCAGTCCTACTTATTTGTCAGTGCAATAAAAGTTGTTTACCCATACAATTTTCCCTTCAATTGTCAACAATAAATTTCTGTAGAGTATGTGGCCCAAATAAATTCTTTGTGAATGGCCCATTAAAATTCCACCTTGCAACCCACTTACGAGCAGCCCACAAAATTTGAGCCCAAAATTAAAGTCAGCCCAATCTCACTAGGTTTTCCCTTTTATTCTCTCTTGACCTTTTTTTTTTTTTTTTTTTTTTTTTATCTCGGTGTTTTGTTTTACAGCAGATTGATTATTCAAATCTGCCCCTTTTTTCTCTCTACAAATCTTGGTGATTTATTACCTAATTCTTCGTGAATTTGGTGGATGATTTGGGCGTATAAGTGCACCATTTTCTTTGTCTGTGTAAGAAACGGAAAAAAAATAGACGAGAATCGAAAAAGAGTAGAATACTTCGTGTATTTTGGGATGAAAAATTAGAGTGAAAGAGAGAACCTTTTTTGAGAAGCAAAGCTCGATTATTTCAATGAATTCGAGCTTACTTCTTTAGGGATAAACCGGTGAGATTAGGGTTTGAATTTGGGTTTCGTTTTCTTCGTTTTGTTCGTTGGAGTACACTGTGTGTGTGCGTGTGTGTGGCTGCCGTGAGTGTTTGGAGGCCCCACTTGGATCTTGGACGAGGACTCGGAGATTGAGGACTGAGCCGGAAAATCGAATCTCGCCGGAGCAGCCGTCGGAGGATTTCTTCCCAGCATATCTATGTGATTTGCTTCTGGTTATTCAATTCTATCTCTACGAATTATCTTTGCCTTTAATGTTTTGCAAAATTATTAATTTGAAACTGTTGCATCTTGTTATTATCAATTGTTGGTTTTGAATTGTTTTGATAATTTATATGGCTACGTGCAGTTGTTGTTGATTGTTGGTTTTATTAATTGTTGCCATTAGTTTAGTTATTAATTAATTGTGTTGATTAATTATATTATATTGGGTAAATTACACACACCCCCTGAGATAAGCTTAAATAACTATAAGGTCCCTGTGGTATCGATAATTACACTTAGCCTCCTGAAACGTAGTCAGAAACTCTAATGGGATAATGAATTGGATACGTTATTCCGTTAGGGCTCTGACGATCTTCTGGTCTCAGAGAGTGGTGAGACAACAAAGAGCTATGGGGTTACATGG